CATGTTAATGATTAGACACCAACCAAGCTGCAAAAGGCTGATTGATTAAAGTATCAGTGACTTTGTGCAAGATTATGAATCTTTACAAAAAGCAATTTAACTGAAAAAGTCACTACAACACTTTGTGAGCGAAAAAAGGCTTTTGATAGATAATTACATCCAATATAAAAGCCCGATATATACTAAACNTTTTTTTCCTGGTGGAAGGAGAAAGCAGACTTACAGGAAAGGTGCAGAGCAAGGTCTTATAACAGTAGAGTGGGGGATTGTCACTTGAAGCAAGCACAGTACGAAGTTCTTGTAGGAAGACAGAGTAAGAAATACGGTTTTCTCCTCATACTGTAGAACAAATTATATCTGCATCATGAGATTCAAGTAGTGTGGGCAACGGATTTCATAAATTTAGCTGAATTACTTCCCAAAGTGGCATTACATTTTTCACATTCACTTTGCTTTCTCAAATTCATAATATCGCTCAAAACACATGGAAACAAAAATAAAGTGTGTGTGTGTGTGGTGGGGGGGGGGGGGGGGGAGAATCCCGTACTTCTAAGTATAAAGTAGGTTTTAAAAAAATTCCAATTAACACCTAAAGCTGCAGATAGCTAATTCACATCAATACATGTAAATTACTAACACATCTATTTTTCGGAGGTCAAAAAAGGCACAATCCAGCACGAGCCATCAGAGCTGCAGGTCAGAATCCCAGGCACAGCTGGTCAGTTCACTGGATAATAGACAGTCAAGAGAGTTTGGTTCGGTTTGGCTCACTTCACTGAAATGCATCACTAGTTGTCCAGTCACAGGGGAGGCCATGGCCAGACTCCTCTCCTCACGTAAGGAGAGTTTTGGGGGCCCAGAGTAATTCACAGGTAGAGATTGTTGGGTTGGGGGAATGCAAACTGAGAATTTCAATATTAAATATTGATTTTTGAATATCTGGGATACATAGTTACTTGCAGGCCAACATACAGTACAACACCACAGTTTATCATTATACAAACCATTTTTGCTTCTTTTAATACATGGTTATTTGATTTCTTTATTAAAACATACATTTTTTCCTTTGTATTACAGGTTCATGTGATTCAAACTGAAATCTATCAGTTGCAGAACACATTATTTACATGCTCATGAGTCAGATCTTCGCAAACAAACACAGAAATCAATGGCAGCCAAAATAAAGGCATAGAACATAGCATAAATACACATTTAGAAAAATAAGTTTATGGTAGATTTAAACACTTTCATAATGAAGGTGAATATTTCAAGCACAGGATTATCTCAAAGTTCATCTGCATTGCGAAACATGCAAGTTTTAAACATGCGCAATTTAAACCTCAACCATTTATAATTGAACATTACCTCTGGGAAGATTGAATAAGTGATGCATACATTCTGTCTTTCACTTCTGCGAGTGAGTGATATACACTCCCCTTTCACCTCTGTGAATGATCTACACTATCCTTTAGTTTGGGGAGGAGTGAATGGACAACATATACTAATTACACTTTCACTCCTCTGGAACATAGATTTTGGATTGCTAATGCTAAGGATGTATCTCACTCATAGAAATTTAATTTAAAACAAGAAAAAGTTCTGATAGTCTTGAAATTAACCAAGAATTGAAAAATAACAGTCTCTATTCAATCTCCAAATGACACTAAACTAATGGGTGCACTCAAACTTTACCAGTCAGTTATTATGGAACAGCAGGAAAGTACTCTTCTTAGACTAAACTTAAAAATGTCATTCCTTAGCACTGATTTTCCTCATCTGCTTAAGCCTAGAGCATTTCATTTTAAAAATGTAAACTAAACTTCCATATATATTATATATACATTATATATATTACACACACATATTTATAAAATGTGTCTGGTAGGATTATGAACTATCAATATAGAGTATTATTCATTTAAAACAAGTTTCCTCAGAATCTAGAATCCCCCATCATCAATGAGAATGTACTCCGCAAGGGCTTCAATGGGAATGCCGTATGGAGCAGCCCCCGTATGGAGCAAATCCTCGCAGTGTTATTAATGCAGAGACTATAATCATAGAAACATTAACTATGGAGAAGTTCTCGCTCAGAGAGAAGGTGCAGGAAAGGACCAAGTGAAAAGATAAGAGTACCTCTGTGTATGTTTGTTGGGATTCACAGAACCAAGACCACAAGACATGAACAAACAGACAGAAAGTATGTTTTCAGCTGGGATGGAAATGGTGAGCAAGACAAAAACAAACACCTGATTTCACTCCAAGCTTCATGACAGCAGCCACTGTTGATCAACTGCTGAGCCTCACTGGTCACTGCACCAGTCCTGCCTCTCAATGGTCTACTGGCTGCCTTCTTAAAGGCAGCAACGTCACCGCGGGGGAGAACAGATAAAGAGCACTTTGAATAGCTGGAACTTGGAAAGAGCAGAAAGAACTTGGAAGTCACACACTGACATCACCATAACTAGAAATTCCAGTGCCAAAATCTTCAGAATAATTGGATACTTTTGAAACACACACACACACACAGTCTGCAGATTAAGGTTGTTTATTCCCATAGTTGAACCACACCTTAGCAACCACATTGTTTGCTGGCCAGCAGCGTCTCCAAACTTCGGTTCAATTCTGTATGGCGTCCAAAGCATTTATTGCAAATCAAGCTATAAATCTTTTCTCCACCTGTTCACCCACTCAAATAAAATGTAAAGTGCTATTTTGGTTGAATGCTGCACCATTAAATACGCCTATTTCTCCTGTTAATGTACTCAAGCATCTCACTGAGAGGAGGAAGGGGGCCGATATGGTGCGTGATAGGGGAAGGATGTGGCGCGCGATAAGGGAAAAACACCACATATTTTAAGCAAGAATGGCAACTCGTACTGATGCTTAGAGAAAGGGATTAATTGTAAATGAATCTCAAGAGCTGAGTTTGAAAAATAATTCTGGCCATGTCCATTTTACTTTTTTGTCATTGCCCAACGTCTACTGGCAAACCTCAGCCCGGAGGAGATGTCAGGTCAAAGCTCAGGTCTCAGAGCTCAGTATGTGGAGTTCACTGCAGGAGGCTTGACTTGACATCCTAAGGAAAGCTTTGCACTGCCGTTTTCCCGACATCCACTTTTTCTATCCCCATGGCCATTTTGGAATCCCGATTCAAAACAACAGCGCTGCTCAGCCGATTGCTGGGTGAGGTTTANTTTTTTAGCCAGCAACAAAAGTCACACAGGCCCATGCTTAATCCCTGGTCTGTGACAGCAGGTCTGTACGGATCTTAGCTTGGGCAGCAAATCAAATCTTGGGGATGTGGGGAACCTGCTCTGGTCATGCTGCTTGGAGAAGTGTGTTTGTAGATGCTGGGTGAGGATAGGATCAGGCTCCACTATGTTACCCACAGCAAACTACCATGGTCAAACATACTAACGCTTACCATCAAGAACTCACAAATAAAAAGCACGGCTGAGTACACTCAGTGCTCATGAAACTATAGCCAGCAGGACAGTTGCGAGGGAGATCACTTTAGCTTCTCCCTCACAGAAACCATTCAATCAAGAAAAAAAACAACAAATTACACCTGAGGTGTCTGGGACTTGCATATTTCATGTTATCCAAATGGTTCTTGCAACTGTTAGAATAAATTCATGTCAGACCTTCAGTGCTTACTCAAGCTTATCCAATGCCACTGTGACACAGCAAGCCACTCTGGGAATCCGAGGACTAACTAATCCCAAAACAGTCACTCAAAACCCAACGCAATCAGTTCTAGTATGTATTATGTATTGCTATATTAACACACAAGCGAGGGGGGCGGGGGCTTTGGTTCCTACTTATCGACAGCATCGAAGACAAAGAAAATACCTGAAGATTATCATTAACATTTCATATTTCCTTTCACAGAAATGGCGTTGTGCAAGTTCTGTGGTTAATGCAGCAATGTCAGCTGTGGTTAGCGCAATTTGTCATCTCAGTGAGGAAGGGGAAGAGGAAACTCAGTGCAGGTAGCATAATGGAGACTGAAATTATTTATTTCCCTGCTCTGGGCCTGATCCACAATCAGACTGGAGCCTGGCCTTCCTGGCCAAAGTCTTGGAACGCCTCGTTGCAAATTAACTTTGCTCACACCCCTCCCTCCACTCAAACCCCTCCAGTCTGGTTTTCACCCAACCCACAGCACAGAGACAGCACTTGTCAAAGTCACAAACGACATTCCCTCTATCTGTGACCAGGGCTCCATCTGCCTCCTCATCTTCGTGGATCTCTTCGCCATATTCGACACAGTCAATCTCGCCATCTTGCTCCACTGCCTCTCCTCCCTCATCCACCTTAGTGGGAATGCACTCGCATGGGTTGAATCCTACTTAACAAACCGCCAACAATACATCTCGGCAAATCATTTCTCCATCCGCCCTCCCCCGGGGCTCCATTCCAGGTCCCACTTCTTTTCCTCATCTCCATGCTCCCTCTTGGCGATGTCATCCACAAACATGGGGTTACATTCCACATGAATGCGGATGAAATCCAAATATACTTCCGCTGCCTCCGCTAGGCTGGCTCTGGCTTCCTGTTTGGTGGCCATGCCTTCAGCCACTATGCTCTGCAACTCTGGAACTATCTCCCTCAATCCCTCCACTTTGCCCCTCCCTCCCCACCTTCAAATCCCATCTAAAGACCTTCCTTTTTGATCATGCTTACAGTCACCCCCGCTCCCTCATTGTCAGACTCCGCCAATGTCAAGCGCTCCGGGACCAAACCCTGCGTGAAGGGTACTATATAAATGCAAGTTGTTGTTGTTGTTGTATTGGAAGGGGAGCGCAGAGAAAGCTGTCTTTACAGGTGACTGTCCTTAACGTGCCCTGGCTCGACGGTGAATAAAGTGGAAAATGTGTTCAGCTCCTCAGCATTTCCATTTTGTGTGTTTAAAAGAACAAACGTTCACCACAAATAACATACAGCTTTTTTTAAAAAAAGTATAGTTTTTGTTAAGGTTTCGCAGCGTTACTCACTTAATTGAACCGGTAGTCGCGGCTCTAGCTTGTCTTTTGCTCTTCAAGGCTCGAAGTTTATCTCCTTGGGTCATCTCGTTTTTATTAGGATAGTGATCATCATTATACTGAGGGTGAAGAAAAGAAACTGATTAGAACATACAGACATACTGTGAAATATACTGGATCACCTACAGAGGATCACACCAAATATACATACAAGTCTGAAGCAGCCACAAACTACTGTCTCTTTTCAAAAAGAGCCACAGGATCTTTAACATCCATCTGAAGAGACTTCAGTTTAACTTCTCATCCAAGGAATGACACCTCAATACAGAACTATCCCAGCAATGCACTGGAATGTCAGTCTAGTCTATAAACTCAGATAATCTCAGCTAACACTCCAATGCATTGCTGGGGGTGGAGTGCAATGTCAACGGTGCCATCTTTGTGTTGAGGTATTGTGAATGAGAAGTGAATTTCTCTCGGGGCCCTGGCCAACAATCCTCCAAATAAAAGCTGTCATTCACTGCTTAGCTATTTGTGGGGCAGTGCCATGTGCAAAATATGTGCTGTGTTTGCCTACAAAATACGGTCACTGCATTTCACAGCAAATCATCTGAAGTACTTTGAGAAGTCTTCCCGATGTGAAAGATGCTATATCAAATGCATGAATGTTATTCTTCTTATAATAATCCTTGTATTTGATATAGCGCTCTTCACATCTTCTAGACGTCTCAAAGCGCTTCACAGAATATACTCTAAAGTATATTGACTGTATATTTGTGGGTGAGACGTGGCTGCCAATTGCACACAGCATTTAATTATGATTAAATAATATATTAAAATATTAATAATAATCATAAATAACAATAATAGACCATTTTACGGAAAAAACATTCAAAATGTGCATCTGTGCTCAGATTATTTGACAAAACCAATAAACTTATCTATAACAATTTCAATCACATTTTGCAAGGCACAATGAGAGACCTCTAGCTTCCTACAAGCTCGATGGTGCAGCGTAAATAGTGTAGGAGGCTGTTGTCGGGTGTTAATCGCAGAGCAGTACTCTATGTAATGAAATTGAACCAGATTAGCAACATCTGAGTATTGGATGATATGATTTTGGATGAATTAAGGATATCAAGTGATCGCTTACCATGTGATTTTCTGGTTTGTCATTTGTCTTATTATCATTAATGGAAATATCATCAACCCCTGACAGAATCCTTGTAACCCCAACCTTGTCCTTTCCATTCTGCTGTTCCTTTAGCTTGGCACGGAAAAGATCGCCTTGTGCCCACATACTAGCTTGTTTCCTGCTCAACACAACAATAAAATGTAAGCGCATAAATAACACTGCTGTTGGAAGTAGAGGTTGGAAAATTGAGCACATGCATTAAAGGCCATGATTGTACAATTAGAAAGCCACAAGTACACTTGAGTAAGTGTATTTAAAGCAGGTTTTTTTAAATAAATATTTTCGCATCTGGAAAGTAGGAAAATTATAATACTCACTCTTCCAAAAAGTGCTGTTGAGGTCCTATTACAGACCCTGGCCTACAGATTCTGATCCAGGCAATGGCCTCTGCTGCTGTCAGCTTGTAGTGCTTCATGATATAACAGGCTATTAAAGTGCCCGTTCGGCCAAGACCGGCTGTAACATTGCAAAAAGAACGAAGTCATTTTCCTTCTAAACCAAAATATTTTCACAGCCTCACAGCAGTTTGCAATACACTGCTGTCCACAAATTGGCTGCCTTGTTCATCTACAAAATATACAGTTGCCACAATTTACTGTAAATCCTGTGAAGTGCTTTGAGACGTCCTCCTGACATGAAAGGCCTCCATTATCAAATGTAAGGATTTATTTATTTATTTGAAAGTTGGTGCCACGAAAGATACGTGTTTGCACGCAAACTCCTGCATGTCACATTGACGCCAGGGCCATGGTCTTGTGAGTTGTCCGCATGGTGTATATGGGAAACCCTGATGAAAAGCAACCTATGGTGTCCCATCACAACCAATGCTAACGCCATTTGCGGGTTTTTTCAACTCTTCCACATACACCTGAAGAGAATACCTTTACAGTGTATGGCAATGACTCCTTCCGCATTTTCACTGATGTTCAAGAACTTTTTCACGATGGCATCATTGGGCGTGCTTCCATCCACAAAGAAGAGATCGTAGTGCTCAAAGCGAGCGTCTGTGAACCGTTTGGCATCGTACATTTTCTTGTTTAAGCGAATAATCGTGGTGATAGTGTGCTTTCGGAAGTATTGAAAGTAGGCCTCTGGGGCGTGCAGGGGGTAACCTGGTTGAATGAATCAAAAGGACTCAACTTAATTTCCAGGAGTTAACAAAGAAGGCGCTTGATTTGCAGTGCACATAACATAACATGTAGGAGCAGGAGTAGGCCATTCAGCCCTTCGAGCCTGCCCCGCCATTCAATCGTGGCTGATCTTCTAATCTAACTCCAACTAATAACATAACTCTGCCTTATCCCCATATCCCTTAATCCCTTTTGCAATAAGAAATCTATCTATCTCAGTCTTGAATATGTTCAAGGACTGAACGTCAACAGCCCTTTGGGGTAGTGAGTTCCATACATTCGCCACCCTTTGAGTGAAGAAGTTCTTCCTCAACTCAGTGCGAAAGGGCTGCCTCTGATTTTAATGTTGTGACCCCTGGTTTTAGTTTCTCCAACCAGGGGAAACAATCTCCCACTATCTACTCTATCATGCCCTTTGATGATCTTATAGGTTTCTATAAGATCCCCTCTAATTCTTCTATATTCTAGAGAATATAGGCCCAAATTGGTCAACCTATCCTCGTAACTCATCCCCTTCATCCCTGGTACTAACCGAGTAAATCTACACTGCACCCCCTCCAAGTCAAGTATATCCTTCCTTAAATAAGGAGACCAAAACTGGACACAGTATTCCAGGTGTGGTCTCACAGTCTCACAGCCCTATACAGTTGCAGCAAGACTTCCCTACTCTTATACTCTAATCCTTTCATAATGAATACTAACATACCGTTCGCCTTCCTAATTGCTGCTGCCCCTGCAGACTAACTTACTGTGATTGGTGTACAAGGACACCCAAGTCCCTCTGGAAGCTAACATATTCCAATCTCTCCCCTTCTAAAAAATAACCCGCTCTACTATTTTTGCTACCAAGGTGGATGACTTTGCACTTCCCTACATTATACTTCATCTGCCACCTACCTGCCTAATCACCTATCCTATCTATGTTTCGCTGCATTTTTTTAATGTCGTCCTCTGGGTTGACACTTCCTCCAAGTTTTGTGTCATCCGCGAATTTAGATAAATTAACTTCAATGTCCACATCAATATCGTTGATGCAGATGGTAAATAGCTGACGCCCAAGGACTGATCCTTGTAGCACTCCACTAGTCGAGTGCAGCACTAATAATTTATTTTTTATCTCGCTTGGCTTCGTACATTGGCTTCTCATTTAACTGATGTGGAACAAATATATTTAAATACCAAAGTATACATTTAAAAAAGTATTTTTAAAAAAATCATGCACACCACAGCAATTTCAAACAGGATTTCTTAATTCAGGAATCCAAGAGGAGGCTACCTAAACGTATCCAAAGAACCAAAAGTCCACCAAAACCTGAGAATTGGTGTGATGCAGTTCCAGATTCATCAATTAAGGAACTCTATTTGAAATTGCCATGTTACTACTCCATCATTATTGAAACTCTTCAAGTTCAGAAAGCTCCTCTACTAGTTTTAGTAATAGTTGTAATCTGCGTGCCAGAAAAGAAAATTTAAGAGCCGTCTCTGAGGGGGAAGAAGGGCCTGTACCAGGAATGGCCTGGGGGCTTTGCCCCGCCAAATGGAGCCTTGGTCAATGGTCTTACGGCTGCAATCATTATTTACAAATCTCAATCCAAATGTAGGTGCACGCTGGCAAAAGGTAAAATACACATCTCCTCACTAAACTGAATATCAACCAATTTCACCACCTACCATTTTCTATTTTGCTCTTTGGATGTGGCCCACTAAAGGCTAAGAATTTCCTTGGGATTATCCAGTTAAAATCTCCATTTTCTGCTCTCTGCAACAACAAAAAAAAGCAAAAAGCTCAAGAGTATTTCGGTTTACAGTACTTCAGTCAATCAACCATACTGCAGAGAATGAAGATGATTTGAATAATGTGCTTTCTTAATTCATGAAAAATCTACTAACCTCATAATGTTCATATTCATCTACATCAAATGTATTGAAATCAAAGAATTCATACTGCAAAGCCTGGGAAGAAATTTTAAATGTGTTTGATTTGGTAATTGAGAACATTGCACAAGACGAAAAAATTGTCAGTGGAGGAAACATGAAGTGCACGGTCACGAGACTTCTTCATTCCATATTACTCACTATATTCACAGAATCCCAGTTAATGATAGTAGAGAATGGATTCTTACCTTGCTCACTGCGCATAAACAGTCCAGAACTGTTAGATTGTACGTGCAAGTGCCAAATGAAGCATCCCTGGAACGCAATGACAAGAGTACATACATGTCTGTTACACATGCTGCACTTGGCATGAAGCCACCCACGAGGGATGGCAATAACTGCATTGATCTCTAGAGAGCTGGTTCTAAGCAATCAACCACCAACAACAAATTACATTTGTACAGCGCCTTTCATGTTGGGAAGACGTCCTAAGCTGCTGAACAGACAAGGATTTAGATCCGAGCTGGGGGTTGGGATCAGGAGGTGTGGAGGGCAGGAACGGTAGAGGTAGGAGGGTGAGACAATCAATCAACAGAGTCCATGCTTTTTTATTGCTTTATTACGCTTCAGAATGTTATTGCTTTATTACACTTCATACCACTTTGATACTGTCAATAATGTTACTTTAGTCACCCACTTGGAGTTAACTTGTTATGATTATTTTCCATCCCCTTTGTTCCAGTTTGCACTCTTCATTTTTGATTATCACAGAATTATTCTTCTGATGAAAATACTTTTTGTTTTGATAAAAAAAGGCATTTTCAGGGGAGCAGTTTGTTTTGGATTTTTAAAGCCCAATTATTTTTCTAACATGTCTCTGCTCCTGGTCTTGTTGTGTCGCGTTACCACAGGAGTTAGTTACGCTCAATCCCGCCCAAGGTTGGGGCCATTGTTTATGTGGCCCTTAGCAGTGGGTGTCAGCAGATGGAGTTGACATCTCTTTGCCTGGCTGCCACACACATCCATCACCAGTCGAGGGTGCTGAACAGGGATCGGTTATCCTGACTGGTTTTACCCTCCTCAAACCCTGAGAGAACCAGGGCTAATTGTATCCCCTCATGTAGTCCTATAGTTTGTGGAGTCTGTAGCTCAGTGGTTAGAGCACAAGCGAGAGGACCTGAGTTTAATTTCCTACAGGGTGAAACGTTGGGCAAGTTTCCTTACTCGACATGCATCTGTATGTAGGAACCCAGTTGTTAGTCAATCGGTGGATCGGCTTTCCGGGGATAATAATCCCTCAAAAAAAGAATAGTTTGGTCACTTAATCCATGACCGTTTGTGGGACTCGGCTGTGCGCAATTTGCTGCCACATTTTACCGACAAATATACAGTCAATTCACGTGAGGACATCCTCCTGACGTGAACGATGATATGCAACTATAATTTTGTATTATATTGTATTTACAGTACATTCTATGAAGCGCCTTACGACGTCTAGAAGACCCGATAAGGCGCTATGTCAAATGCAAGGATTATTATTATTACATATGCAGCGCCGACCGAGACCACAAAACTGAGCACAGAGCAGGATTCGAGCCAGTGAGCTCCTAGTCCACAAGCTCTAGTCACTATTACACCATCGGGCAGTTTTTAAACAAACTTGACGTTTATTGGTAAAGTGAACAGGAAATGTCCTCATCAAATAGCATAATTATGTTTCCTTTAAACATGTTTCTCCAAGTTCTTAATTTTAAAAAGTTAATTTGAACTGTACACAATATTGCAACTTTCCTAAAAATCAGCTGATTTGCATTTTGGATGTCAATTTTTTTAATGAACGTTTAATTTAATTATGTGCTCCAAAACACTTCTGGCACTTTTTTTAAAAAAAGTAACTTCCTTTCTTCTCAATTTTGGGCAACCAGATATGACACAAGTGGAAACCCACTGCCATGATTAATAATAATAATCCTTGCATTTGATATAGCGCTTTTCACGTCGGGAGGACGTCCCAAAGCGCCTCACAGAACACACTGTAAAGTGAATTGACTGTATATTTGTGGGCGAACGCGGCAGCCAACTGCGCACAGCAATGTCCCACAAACAGTTGTAGATTGAAAATGACCAATTTATTATTGTTTTTTGTTTTTGGAGGGATTATTATTAGGCGTGTGGAGTAAGGAAACTTGCCCAAGGTTTCGCCCTGCCTGGAATTGAACTCTGGTCTCTCACTTGCAAAGCGAGTGCTCTAACCACTGAGCTACAGGACTCCACGAATTAAGTTTTGAAACCAAACCACTGAGCATTGTCCAACAGCCATGCTCTTCCTCACAGAAATACATATTTGTCACCTCTTCGATGTACTATTTTATTCAACAAAAGAAACTGCATCAAACTCCCCCAATGTCCTAGCGGGTAAATGGAGCAACAAACCAGGCAGACCACAATATTGCAGGTCAGTGTTGAGTTTGGTGATCACCAGGCAGCAGTTGTATTGCTACAATTGGCCTTGGATCTCCTGAAGGGAGGTGGGAGGATCCTGATCACCAGCCAGAGCCTCGTGCTGGAAGGTGCATGTGTGAGCATCTGGCAAGAATAGAAATGTGCTTGACTGCTACCCCTCCCCCCTCAAAAAACAACTACAGGTTGGAATAACTTTCCAACAGAAATGCTTACTATTATGGCTTACACATAAATAATGGCTACTTGTGTGAAGGACAGGAAGGTGTCTATGAAATGGTATTTAAGTACTGAAGGAGGGGAGCTGGAGGATATTAAAAAAATTTGAACACTTAAAATAAGGGGAGAAAACTGACATAAAAAAAGGCAAACACTTCTTACTAAAAAAAAGGATCATAAAGAACTGGCAGATGTATAAAGGTCAGTACTTCAAAGCGTCTCCAGAATGCTTTATCCTGCACTGGATCAATCCAACAAAGTGTTATTCACAAGTCTCTATTTTCCGGAGATACATTGAGCAAACCTTTTTTTAAAATATAATAGGTACTGGAAAGAAATGACCTTTGTCTGCTGTTAGTTCACCCATCCCACACAACACACACACACGGCATTATTTGGAACACCTGTTGCTTCCTGCCTGTGGGGCAAACTCCACCACAGCACTTGAGTTCATAGTCTAAGCTGACATTCCTACTGAATTACTGGTGCTGGGCAACAACCTTATTTTTCTCTCTTTAAAAAACTGTTCTTTTAAAAATATATACTTTTATTTGTGGTGAACTTTTGTGCTTTTAAGCGCTCAAAATGGAAATGCTGAACACATTTTACACTTTATTCATCCAGTGTCGACATCGAGCCAGGGCAGGTTTAGGACAGCCACCTGTAAAGGCAGCTTCCTCTGCACTCCCCTTCCAATGCCCTCTTCCTGACCGCCCTGCTTTATGTTCCCCACCCTGCCCATGACACCATCAGCAGTCGAGCCTTTACTTTAGCCTTTCTGCCCACAGCAATATCCCACAAACAGCCATGAAGTAAATGACCAATTTTATCTGGAGCACTGTTGGCCAAAATACTGGGAGAAATTGTCTTTTTGAATGGTGCCTTGAGATCTTTAATGCCTGCCCGACAATGTAGCGCACCCTCAACACCGTATTGCTCAAAGTCCAGATGTGGGGCTTGAAACCACAACTTGTGATTCAGAGGCAAGAATGCTACCCACTGAGCCAGGTTGACACCAAGCAGCTTGCATTTATCTTTACTGAATTCCTTTCACCAGGAATAAACCATGATGCATACAAGTTCTCTTTTTAGATCATGGCTGTCTCCCTTGATTCCACAATTCCAGCTAGTGCAATGGCACCTACAAAGTAAACTACCTGTCGCATAGTCTGTGATTCTAGGTCATTTATGTATACTAAGAACAGGGGTGATCCCATCACCAACAGCTGTGGCACTCCACTTAATATCTTCCCGATTTTCACCGAGCTCCCCTTCCGACTATCCACTGCTTCATTCCTTGAATATGTTTACTAGTTAACATCCACGTTTTATTTATTCAATGACCTCAGATTGTAACTGGGACTCTCAAGTAGAAATTATTACACCTATTAATAATCCTTGCATTTGATATAGTGCCTTATTGTGTTGTTTCAAAGCACTACACAGTATTTTTACTGTGAAGTATTACAGTCAAAATAGTAGGCAAATGTGTTTTGGGTGTCTGTCAAAGTATTTTGTAGTCTAGACAAACTAAGTCATATGGCTTCCCACTATCAATTTCAGACACCATTTCCTCAAAAAGTCTGTGACTTTAGTTGGACAAACATACCATTCCTGAAACTATGTTGGCTGTCGTTTATTCCTCATACAGTTTCTTTCATTTTGCTTCCAATAATCAATTCTATTAATAATGAATGGCTGCAGGCAGGCTAATTAATCTGTATATTGCCAGGTCACCTTTTGACTTGGAACCCTCAAAATAAAACTTCTCACGGCTCCGTGAATTGTGGGAACCTGAAGCGATAAGATGCCTTTACTGGTCGGGGTGGTTATAATAATAATAATCCTTGCATTTGATATAGTGCTTTTCACGTCTTCTAGACGTCTCAAAGCGCTTCACAGAATATACTGTAAATAATAATAATCCTTGCATTTGATACAGCGCTTTTCACGTCGGGAGGACGTCCCAGAACACACACTGTAAAGTGAATTGACTGTATATTTGTGGGCGAACGCGGCAGCCAATTGCACACACAATGAAAATGAACAATTTATTACTGTTTTGTTTTCTTGAGGGATTATTATCAGGCGTGTGGAGTACGGAAACTTGCCCAAGGTTTCACCCTGCCGTTCTGGATGTCGAGGACAGTACATTCACTGCAAAGCTATTTAAAATACATATTTCACATGCGATTTATCGCATTGCCTCCAACTTCTAAACCCACCCTTTCAAGATATGACATTTCAGATTAGGTGGAACCCTGGAGACTCCCTAACTTGAATGGCAACTGTGGTGTGTTCAGTGGGTGGATGTCTGCCCTGAGCACAGCAGGAGGTTTAATTCCTGATGTCTATCCAGAGCAGACAGACGTTCATCCCCTAAACCATTAGGCTCATCACACACACAAATACATGCCAAAAGCAGCTAAACCACTCAGCCCTGCCAACCCACGTTGTTGTCAGGTTAATTGCTTTCAGTGGCCCGCAGAAACTATTTTCACAAAATAATAATTTGATACAGCACTTTTCATATCAGGAGGACGTCTCAAAGCACTCCACCAGATATACCGTAAAATATAGTGACCATGTATTTTGTAGGCAAATGCTGCTCTACTCCTTGGTTAAAGGAAGGTTAGCGATAGCAGAGAAAATCAAAAGTAACATCTAAAAAGGTGTGAAAATGTGCAGCGAGGGCAGTATGCTTGAGGTTCCAAGGCTTGGAGGAGATAAAGCGATTCACAAGTTAGAATCTAAATAGCACTCCAGCTGCTTCACCACTATATGGCCAGTAATAGTGCTTTTGATATAACACATTCCCAGGGAGATCCCTGCACATCACTCAGCCTCTGGAGACATCCAAGCTGAGATCTCCTGAGTGTATGTGCGGGGCAGAGAAAACACTTTAAGTCATTTTTGCCAGCATGCTTTGAAATGTCCTCCTGACGTGAAAAGTTCTGTATCAATTGTAAGCACGATTATTTTCTTATAATAGTTTCTGGAGGATACTGAAAGCAATTAATCTGATGACAGCGTGAGCAAAAATACAGTAGTTTTCACCCACCACAGTACAAGCACCCAACGCAATTTTTTTTTGTACTCTGCAGACTCCCTATAAACTTCATAGAGATGCAGGACTCCAAACTAACCAAAATCAACAGAGCAAAAGACTTAAAATTACCTGAAAGGTTGGTATGTGTTATTCCCCCCTACCAGCAGTCTGTAGGCTTCCTCTGGAGTTTTCTTCAAGTAAATAACCTTGAGAAAACAAAAGATTGAGAACACAAAGTTTAAGGATCAGTAATTCCCACAACCCTCTTTCCACAACAAGATTTTGACCATGAATGATTTCTCTGCACAAGCAATAATTTCCCACCGTGTAGATCTAACAATGGATCAGGGAGCAAATCCAGGACTCTCTCATTAGCCTAGTGAGTTAAGCACATGTGCTATTAATACTTCAAATGGGCAGATATTAAAATGCTGTCAAAGTGTGCAATTACTTGAAGTTCACGAAGCACTAAAATTTTAAATCTGTCACCTGGTGTATACAGTGATCTGATGAAAAATACATTATGTTAATTGGGAAAAATCATGGAAGAATTATTTTTGGAATCCCTCCCTCTTCTCCCCAGCCTTGCAACCATCAATGGCACACTATGGGGTCCCGACACCTTGGCTCTTACCATTTCAAATAACTGCCTGGCTCACTTGGTACCAATCTTGTCTCTAAGTCAGAAGGTTGTGAATTCAAGCCCCACGTAGGTGACTTTGAGCTCAGTCTAGGCTGACACTCCAGTACTGCGCCGGGGGAGTACTGCATTGTCCGAAATGCAATGAAATCCGAAATGCCGTCCTTTAGATAAGACATTAAACCGAAGGCCTGATCAGGTGGATATTAAAAATCCCACATCACTCCTCAAAAAGAGAAGGTTTCTTCCAGCATCCTGGCTGTCACTACTACACTTAACAGTATATCCTGCAAAGTGCTTTAAGACATCTTTGCAACATGATAAGTCTCTACATCAAAGGCAAGGGTTAATTAATTGTAACTTGCACCTATTGTAGGTAAGCAGGGAGTGTCCCTCCGGGGAGATGGTGCACATTCCAATCCAGACAAATGGGAATTGCCCACACATAGTGAGCATATATTTGTGAAACAATGGTTTGGATACTCTTAAGAATGGTGATGGTTCTCTGAGCATGTCAGGCACCCGGATGACCAAAAAAGGCAACGATGAATAAAACCGTTCCATTCTCCTCGTGAACACAATTAAAAAACAGCACACGTGTTCCAGCAGCCTCAAAGCACATTTATTCTCCACACGAGCAAAACAAAACAACGAGCTTCTTTGAAAACAAGTTGTTGACAATGCAAGTAGTCTCAGCCAAGAGGGTCACGCCTACTTGGAACTGTGCTCAGAGCTCTGCAGCTGTGTGTTAGTCTGTCCGACGCCGAATCCCAGCCCCTCACTTAGACCTCTGTAGCTGTGTAGCACTGCAGTCTGACCCCCCGCCCCCACAATCCCAGTCCGTGTTTAGGGCTCGGATTTACGATAGTTCAGCCACCCAACCCCAGTCTCTGTGTTCTTCCTACAGGGCTGGAAACGATCACTCTTTCCTCTGATACAGTATTACAGCTGGAGAGGGCATTTTTGGAAGTAGAGTTCAGGACGTGCTCTCTTACCAATCCAAAGATACATCTAGAAGCAAAAGTTATTTAAGGAACACAATGCATTTACTTGGTGAGGTGAAAATAATTCCACGTCAGATTACCTAATATCTATGACAAGCCACTCTTTCGCAACACACGTCTAACCTGCTGTGGTTACACATTACAATTTATGGATGAATAATGCACACAAAGTTCCTTCATGAACAATAGGTTCGATGGCAATCTGAATTTTGATCTTTTCAGCTACAGAAGGGACAAGTTAACCTTACAATTGGGAGAACTTCCAGACATAACTAAAACATTCAGACTATGGCTACCCTGTCAACTTCAGCCAGATGTCTATGACACATGTGGAAACTCCTCACCCTGCTTAAGAGTGTCTAAGATGGATAGATTTTCCCATATTTATGGCACCTACACATGGAAATGTACTATTAATAACAGCAATATTAATCCTTACATTTGGTATAGCACCTTTCACGTCAGGAGGCCGACCCAAAGCGCTTCACAGGGTACACTGTAAAAATCATTCACTGTGTGCTTTGTGAGTGAATTTTCCCAGGTCTGGAATGTGCACTCTCTCCCTAGAGGGACACATCCTGATTATCTAATGCTGGAGAATATTAAGAACAGGTTGGTGAGAGCCAAGTCTTGGGGACCCTAAAGTGCGTGTTGCTGTACCGCTCGAGTTCAACTCGCTAAAAACATGTTGATTTTGGGAGCACTGTCTGACAAACTTCCTGCTGCTTGGCGAGCTAGGACTTTGGTTTGCAACTAGAATAATAGTTTCAGATACACCAAGATACCAGAACAAGACAGCACTGGTTCAGGGATGTGAAGGGCAATTATAAATCTTCCTCATCTCCCTTTTTCTTTTCCTATTGTGCATGATAGCATCTCACAGTGCTGCACAATGACAGGGTTGGACAGAGAGCGAGGGAGAGGGGGGAAAGTGACAATAGGTATACTTGAAGAAAAAACTCTTAAGGGATTCAAAGATAGATAAAGAGGGGGGCTCACCACCTCTCTAAACATCTACAACAACTTGCATTTATGTAGCCTTTTACATAAAAGAAACAACTCAAAATGTACCGCACTCATAACATACGGTGTTGTGCGTATGTACTACTGTCCTTCAGAACTTGCTACCATACATTTGATCTGGCAGAGGAGACATCAATTGGTGTGTCTGCGCAGAATTCAATCCAATAGCTAGCGGGAATCAGGAGAAGCAGACAGAGCTGGGAGGGAAAGGGAGACAGAGTGCAGCAAGAGCCAAAAGAAAGAGAGCGCGCGCACGCAATGATAGCTGGGAGAGCCAAGAGTGAGGAATGAGTACTGAGAGAGACAGTATTATGGGCTGGCTGCAAAGGAGGCTCATCTTTGCTGGAAACCTCATAATATAATAGCAGTACAACTTGCATCAAAGGCCTCTGTTGCCCAGCCCATCAATTTAAAGTAAATGAGAGGATAATTTAATTCTGGTTTGTCAGGCTATCATTGCACTCAATTAACTAGTCCAGACACTAAAAAGCCTGGCCTGGACTGTTACCAAAACACTTAAAATTGAAGTAGTATGATAGTCAACAGGCCTGTAATGGGAGTAAAGTTGATTAGCAGATTGAAAACTAGCGTGGCCAGAGCAATTCTACTCCATAACTAGATCTATTAAAAAAAACCATTAAAAGCACATAATGCACTTTCCCATATACACCACACACACCATTCATCTCCTTTCCTGTTCTGGCTGCCCTCTGGGTACCTCGCCCGGCAGCCATTCTTTTATGCAAGTCTTGATAGAAAAGGTTGCCAGGTGATCCGTTCATATAGACTTTAAAGTAAGCGTTTCCAAATGGTCATCAGGAGCCTCACTTAGAAAGGCAGCCACAAGCGTACAACAACTTCATTTATTTAGCACACTTCATGTCAGGTAGCATCTCGGAGTGCTTTACAGTGGCAGACTCTGACGCCGAACCAGGCGGGGTGGGAGGAAGGAAGTGACCATACACATGGTCGAAGAGGAAGGTCTTCAGTTGTGATCTGAAGTACACACTCAAGGCTCCGGAGAACTATGGCTACGAGGGTGTGATATGGCAGTTAACGTGACACAGACAAGAGAATGAACCAAAGACCTGGGTTGGGGACACCATACGGTAGTGGAATTGGCTTAAGTGTATCTCGGTATCGAGGGAAGAGAATAATTTGGAAATTTGTCAGCTCCCATTTGTCATTCAGTTTCCCTATTAAGAGGATTGGGTGCCACAATCGCCTATAAAATACAGTCTCTACACTTTACAGTAAATTCTGTGAATTATTTGAGATGTTGACAATGTAAATCCTTACATTTGGTAGCGTCTTTCATGACAACAACAACAACAACTTGAATTTATATAGCGCCCTCCACACCGGATGGCATCTCAGACGGGAGGACACCTCAAAAGTGCGGCACAGGATATACTATAAAGAGCAGTGACTGCTATATCAAATGCAAAGATTATTATTATCATCATCATAGAAACCAAGGGGAGGATCAGAGGCTCCGAAAACCACATGGTTTTAGCCACAAGGTAATGGTTTTACTTTTTTTAAATAATGTTCAGAAATTTTAAGAAGCCGTACAATTCAGTCCTAATTTGGAACCTGACTTTCCACAGTTCTTTTCTTCAAGCTCACTAAGCAATCTGAAGATATTAACTAAACATTACAATCCATGGTACTGCTACTCAGTAACTTTAGCTGTCAGACTGCCTCAGGTGATAGCACTCTTGCCTCCGAGTCAAAAGGTTGTGGGTTTCAAGCCCTATGTTGGGGCTTTGGATTCACACAATGTAGACTGACATTCCCAATGCAATTATGTTTGCTGCATTGTTAAGAAGTGCATTCCCTTGGATGAAACCTGAAACTGATGTCCCATCTGCCAATTCAGATGGACCTTAAAGATCTTGTGACATCATTTAAATTAGCTGCGGTATTTAACCTAGAAAATACTCAATCAACACAGTTCATAGTAAGTGCTGTGAGACACCTTTTGAGGCATCCTCTTACATGAAGGTGTTATCCAAATGCAAGGATTTTATTTATTTAATCTCATCATAACTCCATATATTCTTATGTGGCAAGAAGTACAAAAATTCAGTCACTTGCAATATCGTAAAAGCATATACATTAAGTACTGCACCCTCAGTCATAGTCTTCAAGACCCAAGCTTCTGTGTCAGTGTTAATTCTGGAGAGAACAGGCCAATACATATTTCAACACTATACTTACAAACACTGACAACACAAATACACAAGCTCCTTTGACAGCTGAGTACAGAAATGCTTCTTCAGTGCTCAGAGCCTGCATTCAGTTTGCTAAGCAAGTACCATATGTTGTGCAAACACGTACCGCTTATTACCAGGGAACTAGGATTCACCACATCCATCGAACAGTGGAAAAATTGGCCCATTTAAAAACACGGTGGGTTGCAGCCAACCAAAAATCATTCAAAATAGTTTGTTTTGCTGCACAGCTTCAGGGTGACTGTTTATCTAATCTACTGCCTACAAAACACATTAAATATTTAACCTGGAAATTCATTCCGAAATACTGGAGTTTCCGCATTGTGCAAAAGGATTAACTGGAGCCTTTTGTAACATTTTGCATCAATATTTGTAATAAAGCTTCAGGAAGCATTTGGAGGCCTTAGGAACTGAAATGTCACACAGTCTTAGCCTCAAAACAGCTTTGCCTTAAAATTTAAGACCTATAAAAAAAACTCTTATATTCAACCTTAATTTGGAAGCTTTTGAAAACTTGTGGAATATCTATTTCCAAATTAAGGCTGCATTTAAGAATTTGCCACAACTATGCACAGAAAATATTTTTATATGCTAAGATTCTGGATCCTTGCTAAATAGAATTTTAGATAACAACAAATTACATTTGTATATAGCACCTTTCACGTCAGGAGGACGTCCCTCTTGAATGAAGAATTTGTGACAGGTGCAAACATTGATTTGTTGAATTTATAATCTTTTCTCCTGCAGCTTCTTGACAGAAGCTGATTTTTTCCCCAATTCAACTTTTTTTTTTATTCTTGTGACTTGAAGTAAGTTTTACACAATAACCCATTAAGCAGATCAGTTATTTAGATTATTTCTTCATAAGTGTTTTACCTAACAATTTTTTAAAAAATAATACAATAGAATACACATTTATAGAGCGCCTTTCACATCAGGATGGCAGCTCAAAACGCTTGACATAAGAACTGTCAGACGAAAAATCCATTCAGTTCATCTTCCACCATCCTGGTAGTCACGTGACATGTCGTGTCCCCAAACTATATACTGTATCCCAAGATATTATTTCCAAATATAAATCTATCTAATTTGCTTTTGGTTCAATCAACACTTTCTGCTTCCACTGCCTCCCTACGGAGCCTGTTCCATACGTTTTCTACTTGCTCAAATTGACAACGTTGAAATGTCACTCGAGCTCAGGTTGGGAAGCAAGAGAGGGTTGAGAGTGGAAAGATGACAAGAGAAAAACCGGTAGGTTTTGAGAATTGCCATGAAGCAGATTCCCTGGGTGGGTCAGTTGGCAAAGTGACTAATGTGAAACTGAGCCAAAACCCTCTGGAAAATCTCAGGTTTAAATCTACACCTTGTACTGAATTAATTGCTCTCAACCTGGATGCTATAGTTGGCCACACATAATTTCACCTACAAAATATATAGTATGCTCCTGACATTAAATGCAAGGATTAATTATTATTATAAATACTGCCTTCGGCTAGGAAGGTGAAGGTCAAAAAAGTCAGGAATTCTTCTCCAAACATCACTCAGTGACTCCGGCAGCAAAAGGTACATACAGTGTATAGATATTGGATGATACGATCGGCTGGTCTTCAACACCGCACACAATCAAATAGCTTCTCGACACTTCCACATAATGAATGGGTAATTGGTTGAGGAACTAGACAGTAGGCAGTACCATGAAACTGCACTGTAACTCATTGTCTTCAGGAGACGTGGAGAGAAAACTGGAATGGAGGTGAAAGTGGGGGGTGAAGGGAGAAATACAGGACAATGGCACTAACATCTGGGTTCAATTCCCGGCACGGCGAAACCTTGGGTAAGTTTCCTTACTCCACATGCCTAATAATCCCTCCAAAACAAAAACAATAATAAATTGGTCATTTTCAATCTACGACTGTTTGTGGGACACTGCTGTGCGCAATTGGCTGCCGCATTTTGCCCACAAATATAAGGTCAATTCATTTTACAGTCTATTGTGTGAAGTGCTTTGAGATGTCGAGAAGACGTGAAAAGCGCTATATCAAATTCAAGGATTATTATTATTATTATCTTAATATCAAATTCCATAACCCCATCTCCCCCATTCTCGCCGGACTCCATTGGCTCCCTATCCTTCAGAGGATCCAGTTCAAGATCCTGGTCCTCATCTACAAAGCCCTCCATGGCCTCGCCTCACCCTACCTCTGCGACCTCCTAATCCCCTACCAACCCGCCCGCTCCCTCCGCTCAGCCGGCTCCGGCCTGCTCCACATCCCCCGACCCACCATTTGTGGGAGAGCCTTCAGCCACTCTGCCCCCAACCTCTGGAATTCCATCCCCCAATCACTCCGCCTCACCCTCTCCTTAGCCTCCTTCAAGTCCCACCTCAAAACCCTCCTCTTCGACCATGTCATTGGTCACCCCCCTTCCCCTCCCTTCTCCCCCCTGACCCCAGCTCATATCTGAAATGCTGTACACTGTCCAGTGCCTTGGGACGTCCTCCCGATGTGAAAGGCGCTATACAAATGTAATCTTGTTGTTTAAATGATCAAAGACCCAAAATTGAATGGATTGTGAAAAGTGCACATCCTCTGCTTGAATTACATGCCAAAAACTACAATGTTTCCCATTCCTTCCTCTCAAATGTCTCTCTTTTCATTACGTAATTTTGTTCCTGTGATCAATAAAGACATCACTTATATTTCAATTAGGGCAACAGAATCCTTCCTGAAACTCATAACTATTGGTCTATTGTAAAGAACGCACACTATTGGTGTCTTGGAACCGCTAGTAGATCAGTTGGCATAGGAAAATAATTCAAATTCATTGATACAACTTTACCACAAGAGCCCTGGTGACATTTTCTCCAAGTAAAGGCCAAGGAGCCGCAAGAGTTAAGCAGAGATTAAGTTACAAAAATTGAGATACAAACAGGAACATCCAGGACTCCATAGCTCCCTATAGTGACCCACCCACAAATTCTAATTTCATAAAGAAAAAATATTGACCTGGATTCACTTTAACCCAGTATATTCCACATTGTGAAGTCCTGTAATTCAGTGGTCAGAGCACTCGCCTCCCAAGCGAGAATCCTGGGTTTGATTCCTGGCAGGGCGAAATGCTGGGCAAGTTTCCTTACTCCACACGCCTGTTTACCTAACAGTAAGTAGGAACCTGGTTGTTAGTTGATTGGCAGATCACTTTTCCGGGGGTAATAATTAACTCAAAAAAAATTAAAATAATAAATTGGTTACTCAATCCACAACTGTTTGTGGGACACTGCTGTGCCCAATAGGCTGCTGCGTTTCACTCAAAAATATACTGTCCATTTACTTTACAGTATATTCTGTGAAGCGCTTTGGGACGTCTTAAAGACATGAAAAGAGCTATAACAAATGTAAGGATTATCACTATTATGATTCAGCCTTTTAGAACCTCACAGCAACTTGGCATCGAGAGAAATGCCATAATACTTACCGAAAAAGAACCAATAAGGACTGCTGCATTTGCCTGTTTTTTCTGATCACAGCTCGTATAGTGAACAATTTTCTTTCTTGCCAGTGAAAATGACTGTAACAAAAACAGAAATAAGTCATTTTAAAAACAGCAACTAGAAGGTGAACTTATACATTAAACCTGCACCAAACCACAGCTGTGATATTACTCATATGAATGCCACAAATAATAGCCTCAGTTATGCTGTACATTGTATGGAATCAAAACATACAATCAAACTCCGTTGTTAGATGTTTCATTATAACGCAGGTTTGCTTATATAGTGAAACTTATTAATTGAATACTCAATTTGACAGTGGCATTTTTTCAATAAACCAAACTATTCATACACATTATCTTCTGACGAAGGGTGGTGGACCCGAAACGTTGACTCAATTGCTTTCTCCATAGATGCTGCCTGACCTGCAGTGCTCACAACGACTTCTGTTTTTGTTTTCAGATTTCCAGCATCTGCAGTACTTTTTTTTATTCATATAACTCGACTAAACATAATAGGAGACTGATCTGATAAACAATTAACCGAACTTCACTATAGCACAATTGGGCTGCAGACCCAACATATTCTTACTAATTTCTGCACACAGAAAGCTGGCCAGTTTGTTTCAAAATGCTGACATCACTTATATTTTGATACAGCATCTTATCACATCATTGAATCGTCTCACAGTGCTTCACAGGATATGCTGTAAAGTGCTGTGACTGTGTATTTTGTGGGAAAACTTCCTGTCCCAACGTGCAAGAAGTGATAATGTGGTGACCTGATGACCCATCACTCAGACAGTTATTAGCACAGGAAGTTGGGTGACTTTCTGCCTGAATACACAGTAAATGTAGAAGAAGAGCTGACTGGGGATTGTGCTATGGTAAGCAAACCTGCATGATAATGAATCATTACAATCGGGTTTGGCTGCACATTTTGGCTATATACAATAAAGCTAAGGCTGTTATAAAACGGCTCTACTCCAGAAAATCCTTGAATTAATAATCTAAACCCCAACTATTGCCTGTTGGTTCTCACCATTTTAAAAAAATTCTAGTGAGACTGCCATATTTTGCTATGAACCATTCTTTGCTTCCCTTAAGCAACAGAGCACCAGAATAAATACACTATTTGCGATTCAGCTCTCTAATTGAATGTACCAAGCAATGTAGAACTGTATCTGCACAGTAGTCTTAGCAGTTTAATGTCAGATTTGGGCAACAGAATATAGTCTGAACCATCTCGGATTTCCAACTGTGGGTCAATTGCAAGACAAATCCCAGAACGCTAGACATTCATTTAACCTTGGTTACAGAAGTCGTATCAAATTTCCTCACTAATATTAAACATGCACTATACTTTAACCTCAAGAGCTTGGGCTTGGTGCAATCTATTCTAATCACACATCTAAAGGGCAATGAACAGCTGTAGATAAGTGAAAATATCACTCACAGTCCTATTGTAAACAGTTTAGATGGTGCTCCTGGCACTAGAACTGGACCCACCCTATTTTATAAAGCAGATGGTTGTCTCATTGCTGTCAGTAGAAGATGAACAACAACAATAAAATTACATTTGTATAGGGCCTTTCACGTCGGGAGGATGTCCCAAGCGCTGGACAGTCAGTTTCGGACCCGAGCTGGGTAGAGGGCGTTGGGGAAGCAGGGAGATCAAAAGCACGGTCAAAGAGGGTCTTGAGATGGGTCGCGAAGGTGGCAAGGGAGGGTCAAGGCGGAGGGACTGCAGGTTGGAGTTCCAGAGGATAGGGCAGAGTGGCGGAAGGCCCGTCCGCCAATAGTTGGGCAAGCGAGGCGGGGGATGTGAAGTAGGCTGGAGCCCACTGAGCGGAGGGAGCGGGCAGGATGGTAGGGGCTTAGGATGTCGCAGAGGTAGGGGAGAGTAAAACCCTGGAGGATCTTGAACTGTATCCTCTGTGTGATGGGAAATCTGTGAAGTTGAAATGCGTTTATCACATGTACTTATGGCAACACACAGTTCTGATCTCAAATAAGTCACTATGAAGATGCTTTGCCGCTCAGTCAGGGATTGGGGGGGACAAAGAAAGCTGAACATGAGTCAAACCCCTCCCCTTTCCTGACTCCGCGCACCCTCATCACCAGGTACTTTACAGTGCAATTAGTAGACAACTGTGAGCAGACTTCCTACCCATTCTGTGTGACAACAACAACCTGCATTTATATAGCGCCCTCCACGCTGGGCGGCATCCCAGAACATTTTACAATGGTGGAGCCCGATGCCGAGCCGGGGGAGGGGGAAGGTGACCATAGACAGTCGAAGAAGAAGTTCTTCAGGTGCAACCTGAAAATGGGGAAAGAGGGGGCAAGGCGAAGGGATTGAGGAAAGGTGTTTCATAGCTTCGGAAAGTAGTGGCTGAAGGCACTTCCATCAATAGCGGAGCGGAGGATTCAAGGAACAAGGAGGAGGCTGAAGCCAGTAGAGGGGAGGCAACAGGTACTGCTGTGAGGAGAGAGAAGTTTGGAAAGATAGGGGGTGCCAAGGTGTAGAGCGATTTAAAATTGATCCGCTCTGTGACTTTCAGTTTGGGTGTGGTCTGAGGAAACCAGAAACAGGAGAGGGAAATGGGGAGAAGTATATACTGTAAGTAAAAAAAGAGTTGCAGCACATGGACTCTGAAGAACAAGACAAAGAAAAAAAAAGCTGCTAATGTAAATAAGACAAGAACATCCCAACAAAGAGTTCAAACTACAAAATTGAAGGTGTGGGAGTGGGAGGCCTCTGGACCATTTTTTTTCCATCAACTACCTTTCAGATTGAAGATTATTTACCATAAACCAAGAAAGGTTTAAAAAATAACTTTACAACTGATCCTGAGCATTTTAGGGCAGGATCTTGTGTTGTTTACCCTGTGGGTTAAGCCAAAAATTGTGATCTGGCAATTTAACATTTGGAGGGGGAAGAAGAAAATAAAGTACTTTTCACAATGAAGTACACTCAATTACAGCAACAACATTACATTCATAGAGCGCCTTTCACGTTGGGAGGACGTCCCAAAGCGCTGGACGGTCAGAGATTTGGACCCAAGAATGGGGGTTGGGATCAGGGAGGGTGAAGGGCAGGGAGGGTAGGAGGATGGCCGAAGGCTTGGTCGAAGAGGAAGGTTTTGAGACGTACCTTGAAGGAGGGAAGGGAGGGAGTGAGTGAGGCGAGGGGAATGAGGTATGGAGTTCCAGAGGGTGGGAAGACCCCTGGCAAAGGTTATGCCTTTGATCACGTAGTACGTAATTAGGATGGTTGCACCAGTCTATGGTGTAACATTCAGAGAATCACACACACCCCAGCAGACTAAGAGATTATTTTTTGTTGTTTGCCGTCATGTCATTTTTGATGCCTGTCGAAGGTTCAGTGGTCATAAACTCTCGTGTGAGAGATAAGAACGATTCTGGCCATGATGCCTTTGCCACACACGTTACAAAACTAGGGGTTAGAATCTTTATATGGTGTACCCAAATCAGATAAAGAGCATTGTTGCTTAACGTGCAAGAAAGGATGGATAAGTATATTGTTAGAACTTGCAAAAGTTCCAAAAGAAACTGCAGCCGCTTCTGCAGAAACCAACTGGTGTGGCTTTCACTGTTGTTTATCAGCCACACGTGACTCAATACAATACAGTCTGGGTTCGCCAACACTGTTGTAAGACACTGAAATCTCACATCTGTGCATACCCTAAACACTGAAGGCAATTTATTTGGAGGAATGATATTTTGTCCTTACATATATAAAAGAATTAATATTGCAGAGTGGAACACCATGACTGTGACATGCATTGGTAGTATCAAGCACCCTTGATACATTACTTCTCACAAGGCATTCTCTTGTGTCTTGTTCACTAATGAACAGGCTGTAACTACCCAAATTCATTTCACATACTTTCATTGCATCCTGTTTAGACTAGGTTTACTCCCTGGACTCAGCAGTAAAATAACTGTGCAATTATACAACACTCTTTTTCTGTACATTATAATTTGTACTGAAATCATTAATTCCCCTTTGATGCAGTCAAATCAACATTTCAACACTCTTTTGGCTCTCACACCTCTGTGAGTCAGTGAGTTTTTCCCCCTAACAAATGTTCCTACTCTTCCTAAAGGCTCTTGGCTCTTTCACTCCTGGGTATGATTCCGCGGGCACCAGTTGCCCTCTGGTAACTCACCCATTGGTCAGTATTCATATGTGAACAAAGACATTATACATATCATCCAGCAGTGGTCTCTAAACTACTCGAATTGTACATTCTATATTAATACATCCTTTCCTGCATCTGCCTATTCAATGCACACAATACACTATATTGTAAAATTATTGGTCTCATGAATATAGTCTACTCTAAAATGATGTGAAAGTCAAAAAGTGATAGCAATCCCAGAATTCTGGGTTGCTTGAGTTGACCAAAGGGAAACCACAGAGACTCATGCACTGGTTTGCTTCAGGAAGGCTGCAGGTTCATGAAGGCCCAAGACAGTGGAAGCAATCTTACGTAACAAAGTTTTCTTCAACATCATCGTGAGCAGACAAAGATTTGTGCTCATGATATTTGGGAGATGATATATAATCAGATGGCACAGCACTTATCCCTCCTTAACTTGTACATTATATTTGTCTCTTAGGCTAGTCAGAAGTACATCTGAGGTATGGAATTGCAATCAGCATTGTTTGTAGTAACTTTAACAATATTAGTTTTTAAATGGGAAAAATCTCATTAGCGTCCAACTTTGTTAACGTCGCTATAAAGAACACCAACCAAAATGGCAGCCCTGGCTCAGCCATCATGTCACAAGAAGTGGTAGTGGTAGCAATCTCACCTCGGAGTCAGAAGGTTGTGGGTTCAAACGGGACTTGAAATTATATAGTCTCCAGTGGAATGCAAAAGAAGGGTGTGGGGGTTGCATTGTTGGAGGTGCTGTCGTTCGGATGAGAGGTTAAACCTAGTTTGCCTGTTCAGGTGGACATTAAAGATCCCATAGCATAATTCAAAAAGGGATTTGAGACGTTGCGGTAACGTGATATTTGCTATATCAAATGCAAGGATTATCATTATATTCACTGGCCTAGTTTTTTCCTCTTAATTTCCTGTCTTGAATGGTAGCCATGCAACTCTACTGTAGTACTAAATATTCCATGAGACTTGTCCAGGTTGAAATACTCTACCCAATGAGACATTTAATTCAGGGGGCTGAAGAAACGTCAAATTAAAACACAGATGGGCAACCATTAACAATGAGGTGGACCTGTACTTCCAGAAAACTATTCAAACCAATAGTTTTCAATATCCTCTCTGCCTGACTCCACTCCCAGACAGTTTCAGATATGTTAAGTCACTTTATCAACCTCAAATCAACAAATGAGTGAGTGGATTCACCAGGGTTGAATGGAACTGAAAAAGCACAACTCTGTAAAGCCACTCAGTAAAAGTCACTGACTGGCGTCTTCCTGTTAAAAATATAAGCTGTATCTCATGCAGGCAGGCAAAAAGTGTTTGTCACGAGTCACAAGGTCCAAGGTGATCTCTGGCTCGATCCAAAGTCTTGCAAGTCAGCAAATTATACAGGACTCCACTTGTGCAAGACAGAATTTGGGTGGCGAGGCATACATAGAGGCCAGTAACCCTACAACTTTCTTGAGGAGCACTTATTCAATTCTATTATCAGAATCTTCTTATCTCAAGTTTAGTGCACAGCAACCGAGTGACCCGAGACAATCTCATTAAATTTCTTTGTTATTGTCCTGATTTAAAAATAAAATTCACTATCTGTTTACACTTTGGGCGTATGTTCAGGAACAGGCTACCTATGGTGGCAAACCCTTGATAGTTGATAAAAAAAGCCACAAAATCCACACCCATAATAAAGAGTTCAGTGACCACCACCACCAACAAATTACATTTGTATTATGCCTTTCATGGGAGGATCCATGGCAATGAATGCATAACTAAATTTGTTTAATATATTATTTGCAAATTAGTATTTTATTTGAATTATTTAGCGATTCCAGTATTCATATCATTAAAAGGTGATGAATCCATTGAAACCTTCTGCCTTTCACACTTTAAGACAAAACATTAGCAACTGCTTCAAAGCTGCTGAAATATCATGACTAATAATAATCCTTACATTTGATAAAACTCCTAATCATGTCGTTGAGATGTCTCAAGGCACTTCACAAAGTATATTGTAAGTTGGATTGATTATGTAATCTTGGCAGATAATTGCACATAGCAATTAAATAAAAAATGCATTTTTTCAGAAAACAAATGAAAACTGTAAATGCACTCGGGTTTATCACTAGTCTGTATGCGCTCCGGGACTCTACCCTGCGTGAAGTGTGCTTTATAAATGCAAGTTGTTATCATCTCTCAATAAATACTAATAAACAGATACACAAATTGTAATATGTATTTTGGATTCCGTAAGCTGAAGGCAGTACTACACATTAGAAATTAATGTTAAAAAATGTACATCAATATTTACCAGCAAACTCTTAAACATCATAAAATATCACCTCTCCATTTACCTTTAGTTTCTTGTTGATTTTGCAGCAGTACCTGTGTATCATGGCCAGGTTCAGAGGACCAAAATCTGCATAGAAACTAGAAAATAAAACAAATTATTCTTCAATGAAAATGCCTGACTTCCACCAGTCCCAAACTTCTCGATTACGAATCTACAACACAAACTTGCAGATAAGATATAAGAGATTTGACAACTATTCATCCTGCGGCTTATAATCTTGTTTAAAAGTTCACTTTCCCGTTGTTCCCAGTTTCATAAACCTTACAAACCTTTCATAATAAACCTTGGATTTGATCATAGCGCCTTATCACGTCTTCAAGACGTTTTAAAGCGCTTCACCGAATATATTGTAAAGTGTATATTTTGTGGGCGAAAATGGTAGACGGTAGATTTCCATCATTTCTCTCACGCTAACAAACGATTGACTTCTCTTGGAGGGTTATGTCTGACAGGACGAGACACTGACCTGAAATAACTGCCGCCCGATGTTCAGAAACGAGGCAATGAACTACTCAGACAATGTTAAAAGTTAACCAGAGGGGAGAGAGCGCGAGAGGGAAATGCCAGACTCACTTTTCGTACACCAGTTCATCATCGATGCTGAAATAGTGCGTGTTGGCGGTGTTCTTGGGCTTCTGTCGAAGAATGGCAAAATACAGCCGATCTGAAAGGCATTCGAGAAGAGAAACGGGTGAATGGAACGACGTACAGAACATATCGCTAAACACGGTCGGGCTGGTGCAGCCGCGTGGAAACGCTGCGCCAGAACCGCCTTTGCAAGTGACGCCAACCACAAAATATACAGTCAAATCCGCTTTGCGGTGTATTCTGAGACGCGTTCTGAGACGTCCGGAGGATGAGGCGCTTTACCATATACAAGGATTATTATTATTAATATTACATCAATCACAAGAGCATACATTGCAGACTTGCACATCACTATGTGCAGTGCTCCCCCCCGGGATGGACCGCTGCTCCACTACAGGACGACACTCACTCCACAAACCCCCAAACCCCAGACATTCAAACTCTAAACCCCCGCCCCAGCGGCGGCGCCTCGGCTTCGGCGGGACCCCCCCTCCCCCCCGGGACCCCCTCCCCGGGACCCTCTCCCCCCGGGACCCCCCCTCCCCGGGACCCCCCCTCCCCCCCGGGACCCCCTCCCCGGGACCCTCTCCCCCCGGGACCCCCCCTCCCCGGGACCCCCCCCTCCCCGGGACCCCCCCTCCCCGGGACCCTCTCCCCCTGGGACCCCCCCTCTCCCCGGGACCCCCCCTCCCCGGGACCCCCCTCCCCGGGACCCCCCCTCCCCGGGACCCCCCCTCCCCGGGACCCTCTCCCCCCGGGACCCCCCCTCTCCCCGGGACCTTCTCCCCCCGGGACCCCCCCTCCCCGGGACCCTCCCTCCCCTGGACCCTCTCCCCCGGGACCCCCCCTCCCCGGGACCCCCCCTCCCCTGGACCCTCTCCCCCCGGGACCCCCCCTCCCCGGGACCCTCTCCCCCTGGGACCCTCCCCTCCCCGGGACCCCCCCTCCCCTGGACCCCCCTCCCCGGGACCTCCCCTCCCCGGGACCCCCTCTCCCCGGGACCCTCCCCCCCGGGACCCCCCACTCCCCGGGACCCCCGGGACCCCCCCTTCACCTTTCACCAACTCCGCTGCATTAAGGAGATCGCTGGTATCCGCCATTCCGCAGCTCAGGCAAAAGCGAAACAACTCTGCAGGAACTTTCCCCTCTGCGCCGCCGCCGCCGCTGTTGTTGCTGCTCTCGGTGCCGCTGCGTCTCGTTTTTAAATACAGGTTAAAAGCGGCAGCAACAGCAGCACAGGGGGGGGGCGGGGGGGCGGGGGGCGGGGGGCAGGGGGCAGGGGGGCAGGGGGGCGGGGGGGGCAGGGGGGCAGGGGGGCAGGGGGGGGGGGCAGGGGGCAGGGGGGGCACTGCTTTTTTTAAAAAGACCCTGGTCCCGAAGGTGAAGGTTTCACATTACTGACTCCTCAGTCTGAATTGGGGAGAGAGTCACAGGGGGAGAGAGAGTCAGGGAGAGAGACTCAGGGGGAGAGAGAGTCAGGGAGAGAGTCACAGGGGGAGAGAGAGTCAGGGAGAGAGACTCAGGGGAGAGAGAGTCAGGGAGAGAGAGTCAGGGGGAGAGAGTCAGGGGGAGAGACACAGGGAGTGAGAGACACGGGGAGAGTCAGGGGAGGAGAGTCAGGGGGAGAGACACAGGGAGTGAGAGACACGGGGAGAGTCAGGGGAGAGAGAGTCAGGGGGAGAGACACGGGGAGAGTCAGGGGGAGAGAGTCAGGGGGAGAGAGAGTCAGGGAGAGAGACTCAGGGGGAGAGAGAGTCAGGGAGAGAGAGTCAGGGGGAGAGAGTCAGGGGGAGAGACACAGGGAGTGAGAGACACGGGGAGAGTCAGGGGAGAGAGAGTCAGGGGGAGAGACACAGGGAGTGAGAGACACGGGGAGAGTCAGGGGAGAGAGAGTCAGGGGGAGAGACACAGGGAGTGAGAGACACGGGGAGAGTCAGGGGGAGAGAGTCAGGGGGAGAGAGAGAGTCAGGGAGAGAGACCGTCAGGGGGAGAGAGAGTCAGGGAGAGAGAGTCAGGGGAGAGAGTCAGGGGGAGAGACACAGGGAGTGAGAGACACGGGGAGAGTCAGGGGAGAGAGAGTCAGGGGGAGACACAGGGAGGAGAGACACGGGGAGAGGGGGAGAGAGTCAGGGGGAGAGAGACACAGGGAGTGAGACTCAGGGGGAGGGAGTCAGGGAGAGAGAGTCGGGGAGAGACACAGGGGGAGAGACACAGGGAGTGAGAGACACGGGGAGTGAGAGACACGGGGAGTGAGAGACATGGGGAGTGAGAGACACGGGGAGTGAGAGACACGGGGAGTGAGAGTCAGGGGGAGAGAGACACGGGGAGTGAGAGACACGGGGAGACTCAGGGGGAGAGACACAGGGGGAGAGGCTGCAGAGCCGCTGCTGCCACAAGTGAAGTGCTGCTCTCACTCCGGATCTGCAACAGTTTGGCTCAATTTCCCCGCCTGTCAATCACCGCCCACTCCCCGCTCCCCATTGGTCAGCTGCCCTGCGACTGACAGCCCACCGAGGCCCCCGATTGGTCGCCGCTCTCGCTGCCGCCCGCCCCGCCCGGGTGGGGCCGAATACGAACCCGCCTATTGGAACGCGGCCCTGACGGTTGCTAAGAGACGCCCATTGTCCGCGCTCCGCCCCTCCCCCCCCCCCAGTGTTTACATCTGCACCGTGTGCTCAGAGCAGCTCACACTGCAACAACAACAACAACAACTTGCACTGATGTACACACAGTGGGGTACTGCCAACTGTGCCAACTGCACATAAACATGGCAGGGGCTTCATGCCAAGCTGGGGAGAGGGGGGAAGCGACCCGCACAACAACAACAACAACTCGCATTTACGTTTACAACGGGCAGTGTCTCGCAACACCTCAAAGTGGCAGAGCACGATGCCAACGACAACAGCTTGCATTTACGCAGCGCCCTTCACGCCGGACGGTGTCTCCGAGCACTTAGCCGGTTAGAAAGGGGAAGAGACCTTGGAACGATTAATACCGAGCCAGGGGGGGGGAAGGGAGGAGACTGGAGGCACACTCGAAGAGCTGTTGAAGGTCTGAAGAATGAGAAAAAAAAACGAAATTACATTTGTATAGCGCCTTTCGGACCCGAGCGGGGGATCGGTGACGGGGATGGTGGAGGGCAGGGGGGGAAGCAGGGAGATCGAAAGCACGGTCGAAGAGGAGGGTCTTGAGGTGGGTCTTGAAGGTGGCGAGGGAGGGGGTGAGGTGGAGGGTATGCAGGATGGAGTTCTAGGGGGTGGGGGCAGAGTGGCAGAAGGCCCAACCGCCAATAGTGGGGTGAGTGAGGCGGGGGACGTGAAGCCGGCCGGAATCTGCTGAGTGGAGGGAGCGAGAAGGATGGTAGGGGATTAAGAGGTCGGAGAGGTAGGGGGCAGCAAGACCATGAAGAGCTTTGAAGGACCAGGATCTTGCACTGTATCCTCTGTGTGATGGGAAATCTGTGGAGATGGGCAAGGATTGTGGATGATAGGGTTGCGGAGCCTAGTGCGGGAGAGGACGCTGGCTGCAGAGTTCTGGATGATCTGCAGCCTGTGGAGGGAGGAGTTGGGGAGGCCGACAAGCAATAAGTTTGCAAGGTCGAGCATTGATGTAATGAAGACGTGTATGAGGGTTTCGCCGGCCTGCAGTGTGAGACAGTGTCGGAGCCAGGCAACGTTACGGAGGTGGGAGAAGGCAGATTGGGTCATGGCGCAGATGTGGGGTAGAAAGGATAGTTGAGGGGTCAAACACGACCCCAAGGTTCCGGACCATCCTGTCACCATGGATGGTGAAGCTGTCAATGCCTGAGGTGTGGAAGCGCTTATGTGAGCCGATCAGGAGAGCCTCGGTCTTGTTGACGTTCAACTGAAGAAAGTTAGCTCTCATCCAGGACTTGATGTCTGTCAGGACAGCAGTGGTCCTGGAGTCAAGAGTGGAGGCAGAGAGGTAGAGTTGGGTGTCATCTGCGTACATGTGGAAATTGACCCCATGTCTGCGGATGATGTTACCAAAAGGGAGCATATAGATATTGAAGAGGAGGGAACCAAGGACAGAGCCCAATAAAAGACGCATCGAGGCAACAAAATTATTTGGAACACACACACACAAAAAAAATCCCTACCCATAATAATAATAATAATCCTTCCATTTGGTACTCTATAGCGCCTTTCACATCCGAAGGATGTCTCAGGATGTCAGGTCAGTACAGAATCCGCTTTGGCAGTTATACCTCCTCATTCAAATAGCTTGTAAACATTCACTGCCTCGGCTCAAACACAAACAATTATTACTAGGCAAGGTATTGGAAGGTGCTTGATGTCATGGAACTATTAAGTTATCTGAGAAGCTACTTCTTTCAAGAGTACTATTTAAATGCAGTTGTTATTCTCCAGCTTGAGACTGTGCCTTCAGTTTCTGCTATTTACTTCCAAATGGAAAAGTGTGTTTTGTGCTGGATAAAGTTTTATTTGGGTCAAAATACAAAGAAAAGTATAGTGCATTGGTGTGGGTGCCAACACAATCTCCCAAACCAAAATAAATTGTCATGGAAAATGTGACGCAAATCTCAATAAAACCTCCCTGTTTGACAACAAATTTATCTCAATATTATAATCCCTTCCCTCTTCCTACTGTGTGACATGAACCCAAGGGGAAAACTCAGCTGAAGTAACAGATTGCAAACTGTGTCGCAAAGCACAACAGCAGGATTGGAAAATACAAATTCAATAGGAAACACTGGGAATGTTAACAGACAACAGGTAATTTTTAGGATTATATAAATGAAAGAACTTCTTTATAACGCTTTGTTATGAAACATCAAAACATAATTCACAAGTAATTACTGGTTTTGTAGGCAAATGCTGCTGCCATTACATCAGTATGGTATAACTAACCATAATAATAATAAGGTGAATAACCAATTAATCTGGAGAATTGTTGGCCAGCACTCTTCTTTTTAAATCCTATCATGGTCTTTAACATCCACCTGAAATAGCAGAACAAGACCATGATTTAATATCACATCGAAGCATGGCAATGAATTACTCGCCCAATATTGCTCTGGATTGTCAGCTAACC